TATGTATGTATGTATGTATGTATGTATGTATGCAGTTTTTTCCTTCTAAAGTTGCTTATTCGTGCCCTTTTTGGGCCGGGAGGTTCCTATGGCCAAGCTCAGTGCCGCATCAGAAGTAGTCGACAGTGATGGGGTCGATCTCGCGGATCTCCTCTTCTGCACTTTCGGGACTATCGCTGCTCCTGGGTGCAGCCACCAGTGCCTCATCAAGTGCAGTCTGAGTGTTAGCTCTGGCCGGTGAGCTGGATGCCGAGAACCGAAGTTTCTCCGGAGCAGGTGGAGACAGGCTAGTTGTGCAGCTCGGTCTGGTAGGTGTCACCTCCTGTGGCTGGGTGTCATGGCCGGTGGTGACAGAGAGCGGCTGTCCTGTCTGCTGAGTGACTTCGTCGTTGTTTTGCCCTTCTCCAATTCCCCTTTGATTGACGGGCAGTCTGACTGGTTTGGCTGAAGACTTGCAGCAAGGTGGGGGAATTCGGCTTGTGGCCCCGACACTCTTTCCTCAGCCCTTTAGTGAGTACCAGCCTCTCCTTGTCGTCCAGGTGGCTTTGTAGGCCGCATCCCTTGCAGTGAATTGCCCTTCCTCTTTGCCAAAGGGTGTGTGAGGAGTGTGCGGGATGCTCACTGGTGAAAGCTCCGTCGATGCAGGTGCTCTCGAGGAACTTGTTGAAAACCTCCTCGTTAGCTCGATTGTGGACTGCCTAGTTGCATTTGGTGCACTTCAGGTACCCTGCAGTCTCCTGATAGACATGGGCATCCGCCGTGGTGGGTGTGTCTTCAGGATGGTGGCAATGCGGCTGGCTCTTGTGGTTTTTTTGCCTACTGCTTTGCCAGGTTGTAGATCCGGTTCTGGTGCGGGAGTGTTCAACTGCCCGCAGTCTTCTTCAAGCCGGGTTTCTATGGTGGCTGCAGTTAGGCCCTGGTGTACCCTTGTATGGCATGTGTGGCACTGGTACCCACTTCTGTGGGGTTTCCACTGGTTGTTGCCGGATTGCCATGGCTGCTTGCATTGGTCGATGAGGTTCTTCTTGCGTTGTTTGGTTTTGTGACCCGTTGCACGCCCAGGTTTGCTGTGCAAATAGTGGTCTTTATCCTCATAGATGCTTGCCAAACGGTGGGCTGCATGTTGGTAAATCTCATACTGGTCGTGGTCCAAGATGCGTTGCCATGCTTCGGTGTCTGCATTGTGAATTTGTGTGGCCCGTTCCCATGCTGCCAGAGCCGCGTCCCGCTGCCGCTGTCTGAGGTGGGGCTCATTGCCGGGAGCTTCCGGTGTCTTGTGGTTCTTATGGATAAAGAGCGGTGTGATTTGGGAGTAGTACTCCGCTGGATGACCTTGGGCAAGGTCCTGGAATCCTTTCCGCTTGCTGGGGTTCATCCACGCTTCCCACACGGAGCTGACCTGGACAACCACCCGAGTGGGTGTCTGGATAAACTGGGCCAAAGTCAGTAGTCCTTGAAAAAGCGCACGGGCTTTGGTTTGGGCGCCCTTGGCCATGCCTGTGATGGACCCTTGCGTTGCCATGAATGGTCGGTGTGGCATCTATTGTGACGGAGGAGAGGCCTTGCCATGGTTAGAGAGGCAAAGGCTCTAGTGTTTGCCAACACCCATGGCCTTCCAGCCCAATCGGGTCCGTGAGGTGGTCTTGTGGCTCCTTTGGGATCCATCCATAAGCCCAAAGTGGCTCTTCGAGTGGGTCTTGGAGCCGTTCCGCCCATGGGATGGGCATGGGTGGGTGCTTGTGCCCGTGGTGCCACTTACACATGCAAATGATGTGTTTTGGTGTGGCCGGGACTTGGCAAATGGGACAGGCCTTGGTGGCCTCGCCTTCTTTGTATCTGATGGCCGCCTGGTTCCACGTGCGGATGTGGTTGGCCTGCCGGGCTGAACTTTTTTGTTTGCCTTTCGGGCAACTGTCCAGTCAATGCCACTGATCAAGGATTGGCAGTTCTTTCGGCTGGCAAAACGGTGGCGTCGTTGTTGGGTGGCCTCTGCCTTGATTGCCTCTTCAATGACCCACCATGGTTGGTGGAGGTCTATGTGTGCTTCAGTCATGGAGGCCGTTTTATTTCGGTGCCAGTCATAGAGACTCTTGGCCTGCCATCCCCATTCAAGGAGATACGCAATTGTGGCTGCCAAAGGGCCCTTGGCATGGTACCACGGGTATTGTTGTTTCCGAACTTAAGCTTGGAGTTCCAACCATGCCTTCTCCACATGTCCCAGGTGCTCCGGCGGCCAATGGGTGATGAGTGTGTGGAGGGCTTGTACATGTTGGAGTACCACTTGATCAGCTGGGTCCATGTACTTGTTTTGGTGCTGGTCGTACACCACATCAGTGAGACCTCCTGTGTGCTGCCCCAGGTGTGTGGCCAGAGCTTGTCGTAGAGCTTGGCGGTACCTATGGGGCCAAACCCTGGCCTTCAACTCCCCAAAGTGCCACTGATTGGATGCCGCCTCTGTGCAACCGGAGTCGTGTCTTCAAAGTGGGTACGCGGAGGGAGCGCAGCTTGAGCCGTCGTTGCTTGTTCTTTTTGAAACGGCTTTGGAGGGTGGCAATCCTCCGGCGGCGGCCTGCTTGGTGGTCAATGCCAAGGTTCCTCATCACTGCCATGCCCTTGGTGACATGAAACCAATGGCTGAGCTCAGCATCTGCAAGGACGGCTTTGGGTCCTGTGTACACTTGCATGAAGCGTTTGTGCCACCTGCTGTAGTCTGGTCAGGTCGATGGTGTCGTAAAAGGTGCTCATGTCCAGCAAAACCGTGATGCCATGTTTTGTCAGGGTTTTGTTGCTTTCCTGTCTGAGCAATCTTCCAAGGCCACATGCAGGGCTGTGGCTCCTGGCCTGGCGCGGTCGTAGTCCATGTAGTGAGGGAGCTCAAGTCGCCATTGATCGAGCAAGCTCTTGCGGAGTCGACACCAGGTTCGATAAAGAACGCTGCATGGTGAGTGTGATTGGTCTCTCGACTCTTTCATTCTTAGCTGTAGCTAGCATCACCACCAAACTCATCTGAAGTTGGGTGTGGCCGCGGCCTCCATCTCCTGGATGAGCTTGAGAAGTGGTGGTAGTGGATGTGGTGGAGCGTTCCTGAGCAGTTGTGTGGAAATTGCATTAGGGCCACATGCACGGTCTGGCAATTTCTTGAGGGTTCTGGCCAAATGCCCGATGGTGATGGGTGGTATAGTCTGTGCCATTGCTTCTGTCTTCAAGGGTTTCCTGGGCATGGGTTGGTTGTCCTCCGTGGGTTGCCAGTGTGCGTGCCAGTCGTGCAACCTGTGGCGCATTCGATCTGGTGGGTTGCACTGCGCGTTGCACTCGACCGTACCTTGCGGAGAACAGCGCCTCATTTCTAGACTTCTTGACATTGTGCGTTTGATGTGTCGACAGAGGGATTTGGTTCAGTTTAGTCGGTGTCCTTTTCAAGGGAGTATATATGACTGCAAACTCACGCTGAACGCGCGTCCACTGGCTCGTACTTGAGAGGAGTTTTCTGGCCCTTTGTTTGGGGAGAGTTGTTGGGCGCCACAGCGGGGCGAGCGTGCGCTCAGGCGCTGTCTCAGCCAGCAAAGCTCAGGCGCTGTCTAAGCCAGCTTGCTTTTTAGATAGAGGACAATTGCACACTTTAATTGGTACGTGCTTGGAACCTGTGGAAAGCAGGTTATGTTTTCTTAACACATTTCACTAGCCAAAATGCTTTGCCACTTTGGGCTCAAGATCTTGTCGGTTTTGGGTACCATCCTAGAGAGCGTCACCTGGGTTTGGTATGCCGCTGGTGAGC